ATTTGACTAGACGCGTAAGATAATTGTTTGAAGTATATATATCATATTAATGATAATGGAGGAAAAATTGTAGAGTAATGGTTGAAAAGTTAGTTCGATAAAGAACCCATTATACTGATTTCCAAACCGTGCGCAATTGGCCCTCGGAATAGTTTAATAAATCTGAATTCTAGAGAGTTGTGGAAGTTTTATAGAATTGGAATGATGTCAAACACTTTGGAATATCTCAAAACGAAAAGAACGTCATATAAGTTGGAATTGGGGGAGTATTGCATACTTGATAGTAACGAGGTGCGGAATGTGTTCCAGATATGCTTAATGCCTGGAATTTGGATCATAGTCCTGTAATATATCATCCCGTGATAGTGATCATCACATGTTCTCTATACAAATATCTTGTCTTTGGGGGTGCATTTAACATTGTGCCGCTGCATCATCATATGTCTATTGAGGCTTAGTTAGATGTGTATTTTCCTTCAGTTGCAGAATAAAAGATATACTAGAACTGTGTCAAAATTGAACATTTCCCTCTGTTGCTATGCTGTTCAGGAGTCTCATATCATTCATTGATGTTTGCAGGAGTCAGGATTTCAGCAAATCAGGATTTGATGCACGGACAGTAATTATCTGTGATCAGGTATTATTTTGTTAGTATTAATTATATATTATCTCAAGTTTCTATTCTTGTGAAAATTCGCATAATAGTCAAGTATTGAAGAAATTTCCATTCCTTTTTGCAGTGTGAGAAGGAGTATCATGTTGGATGTTTGAAGGAGCACAACATAGATGACTTACAGGTTTGCAGAATTTCCTGTTATATTGCATGTTCTTCTATTTTGTATCTCTCTCTTTTGTCTTGTTTCATATACGGATTCTTAACCTTGAACGTTTTCACACTTACTGATCTCTACGCAACGTTTGAAACCCTCCTCATTACAGGAGTTGCCAAAAGATAAGTGGTTTTGCTGCACAGACTGTAGTAGAATTCATTTTGCTCTGGAAAAGCTGGTATCAGAAGGAGAACAGAAGATTCCAGAGTCTCTGTTCAAAGTCTTGAAGGAAAAGAACGAAGGAAAAGATTCAGAGAATAACTCCAGTCTGGACATTAAATGGCGGTTGCTGAGTGGGAAAATGTCATCTGAAGAAACAAGGGTCTGGCTATCTGGTGCTGTTTCCATTTTCCATGTGAGTTCGTTTTACTAATTTCTTTCACTCCACTTCTTGGTTGGAAAAGAAGACCAACATCACCTCTACGAGGCCTCCTGCTAAGAATTGCAAATTGTGCATCTTTAACAACTCATTTTGCCTCTGAGATTAGATACAACTACCTTTTCCATTACGTTCCTCTTCTCTTTCATGTCTTTTTAGGCATTTACTTGAATAGTCGCAGGTTATTATGCTTTTGTGTGCATAAAGTTAATTCACCCACCCCTCCCCACCTAAGAAAGCAATGAAGCTCCTGGATGTTTGCATCACTAACCTTTTTGAAATCAGAGATAAATATCAATCCTGTTTTTAGGGTGTGTGCTTGATTTGGCATGTCTAAATTCTAATATTAATATATTTATGATCATACTAGTGGAATGCATTTGTTTCTTTGAAAATTTTAGCAGAGTTTTAATGCTTAATTGAAATATCCTTTTAGGTTAGTGAGAAGAGGTCACTTTCTTTCCTCCTTAGTAAGTCCTTTGTTTCGACCCATAATTTGCAAGACTTTTCAAGTGCTTGAGTTATCTTCTGCTGTTTCTAATACCAGTTTCTGGTCCATTTCCTTAATGGTACCGGTTTCTAATACCAGTTCTTTGTTTTGACCCACTGCTATCATTGCTCAGCTTGATTATTATTTGTTTATGTTTCAAAAGTTCCCTTTCTTTATTTAGAATATGGATTAAGTCAAGTTTGGCTGCCAGGTGGTAATTTTTGAAAGAAACTATAACTACAACTAAAAACTAACTCCTGATCCATAAAGCAAATGTGGGGATCCTAGTTGTTAACTTGTTATCTCCTCACTACTAACCCCTTGGGTTGTTGGTTTATGATTGGGAATGGAAAAGAGGACATAATTCAGTCTAGTTGTTTAGTTTGATTTTTGAGTCCGTAGGATTGAATATTGAAGTATTAATGTCCCCCCGATTCATGGGATAATTTTTTCCAATCAGGGTAGTGGGATGATTTCCTATTAGAAAAGTATCGTTTTTATAACTTTGCCTTGTGTCTCTCTTTCCCTTTACACCAATTTTTTTTTTCCTTTAAATTCATGTTTCTTTACTGTTTATTTTCTTTATTAATTTTTTTCTACTACTGATCTTTTGTATAATATACCTGTTAAAAGTATTTAAATCTTATTGTGACTCTGCTTACTATGGAGTGTTTAACACAATGGTAAAGGATATACTGCCACTTATCTAATCCCAGCTTTATTCTTGCCTAAGCAAAACCAGTGACAAATTGTTATAATCCTATTCATAATGCCCTCACAAGTCTAGTGGTATTAGAATCCCAGGTCATCATATCTGCAAACAACTCTGTCCCTGTGCAATGCTGTATTTGCAGTTCACTTGAAAAACTCCAGTTGTATTATAGTCCTATTCACTTGATGTACATTTGAGATGTAGCTAGTTGTGGTGTGCTTGGGAGTTGGGTAGTCTCCACGCTAACTGGTGAGACTTATTATACATGTGAATTGATAATCTGTATTTTGTCTTGTGGCATAGGATCGATTTGACCCAATTGCTGATGCAAGTACTAGCCGTCTAGATTTGATCCCGCACTTGGTCTATGGGTAAGCAATAATGTTTATTTAACATCTGCTTTTCTTTGTTGCGTCTCTTATGAATGCTCTTAGTTTAATTCACATAACCCGGACCTCACTCTGTTTGCATATCATGATATCTCAGAAGAAATTTCAAGGACCAAGACTATGGAGGGATGTTCTGTGCAATATTATTGGTCAAGTAAGAAATCAATTTACCATTGCTCCAGATAAGTATTTGGTAACCCATTCTGAATCACTTTCCAACTTTGCAGTTCTGTGGTTGTTTCTGCTGGCATTATCCGTATTTTCGGGAAGGAATTAGCAGAGCTCCCTTTAGTTGCAACAAGTTCTAATTGTCAAGGACAGGTGACTCTCACTTAAATTTTAAGCTTAAAATGCGTCTGATTTTAATTTGCCCTACCTTGTGAGGATATTCCTTGCCCGTTTAATTTTTTGTAATTTTGTTTTAATTAATTTTGTTTTTCGTGCAGGGCTACTTTCAGTCTTTGTTTTCTTGTATTGAAAACCTTTTGCAGTCCCTGAATGTAGAAAACCTTGTACTTCCTTCAGCAGCAGAAGCAGAGTCAATCTGGATAAATAGATTTGGCTTTAAGAAGTTCACTGAAGAACAGGTAACTTGATACGTGCATGCCTTTCATCTATCTATCCCTTTTTAGTTTGTTTTTTGTTAACCTATGCATCATTCTCCTTGCAGCTCAAAAACTACCGGAAAAATTACCAGATGATGGTTTTTTCTGGAACATCCATGCTGCAGAAGCAGGTTGGGTGTTCTTGATGTGATGATGGTTGGCCTTGGTGGCCTTCATTTTACAGTAAGAGAAGCAATTGAATTTTAGAGGCATGATTTGTTCTGCACATATTTTGTGGAAATTGGGTTCCATTTTTCCGTCTAATACAAAACGATGTATAGTTCTCAAGTTTCGTTTTGGTGTATATAGGGGATAGTGTAGTGTCATCTGTTATGCTTGCTGGATTCGGCAATACAGGCAAGAACTGTCGGTATGTGAATGTACACCTCAGTTGTTAATAGGAGCTATTGTTCGGAAAAATTGGATCATCTCAGTTTTGGAAGTTGCCAACAGATACTCTCTCAGGATTTAGATAGGTGTATTGTTTTTCAGGGTTGTGTACATGAGAAGGTCCTGCTCTGCTCTGATCTAGTGGCTCCATTTTTGCTACATTAACAATTGAAAATTCACCTTAGTTTATCATAGTTGATTTGTTATTTAATCATTGTTAGCTCTTTCTTTGTTGTATGTGTGAAGCTCTTACAAAACCGAACCATGTTCCTAAAATTAGAACAAGGCTTCTTTCCAGAGCAAAACCAATGGGCCGATTTGATTGTTATAGACTCGAGACGTACGAAATGTGTTTAATAGAGTTTCTGTTTGTCTGTTGTTTTCCGCTCAATTGAAAGCGATTAACACTTGTATAACATTTAGATTGAGTTATATTTTTCCCAACATAATTGTTTTCCATAATTATCCGTTAAATCAGATTAGGTTATGTATTTGTTTTTCTAAAATAGGTACATGACGAGAAAATAATTTCTTATGATTGTTTACAATTTGAATAGAACAGAATGATCCAACAAAGATCTCATGTATATTATTTTATCCATATCTTATGACAAAGGGACATATGACTAAAAGAAATTTTTAGTGGGCCATAAAGTGTTTTGAAAAACCCTTAAGTTTAATTATATGGTGTTTAAAAAAAATAATGATTAACTTTAGGCATTTAAATGAAAAATTGGTCAGTTTGCAAGCATATGATAGGTAGAGGACCTTCTCAAAGCAATTTATTATTTTTCTTATACAATTAAGAAGAATAATAGAACAGATTCAACTAAATAGTTGGAATTTGAACTTGTCACACTGTTATTAGAATTGTTGTATTTTGCCTATTGAATTGTCTCTTTTAACACCCTCGTTTCCAATTTATTGGAATCTTCACTAGTGTAAGAGGTAATTTTATATCCATACAAATCGTGATTCAAATTTTTATTTATCGTAACACTCCTATAAATATTATTTTAGAAAACAAATTAATCGGAAACATAACTTTTCTTTTTCCTTGTGCAAAAATAACAAACGCTAGAAGTTCCACATGTATGGAAACATCTAGACACAAATCATTAGTGCAAGCGGGAAACATTCAAAATTTGAAATTCAAAAATGCACCGTTTTCTCCTTTTATCATTTTAAAATCTAGAACACACAATAAAAGGAATACTTAAACATATTTGCTTATTTGTTAAATCCGCTAACGTCATAACGCATTAGAATTCGTTCTTTGCCCTTTCTTTACATCCATTACTCGCTTTCGTCTCCATTCTCCATCACAAACGCAGAGGTAAGCTTCTAGAAGATTCCATAATTTTTTCTAGCTGAAAAATTAGGGTTTTTTTAATTTTCCAGATTCTTCATTCATTACAGATCTGTTTAAACCAATTGTTTTTTTTGTTAATCTACTTTCGCCAGTTATTTTGAACTGAGAAATGGGGCAGATCCAGTATTCTGAGAAGTACTTCGATGACACCTACGAGTACAGGTATTTTTGTTTAATCAGTATGAATTTCAGTAATTTATTTTTGTTTTATCCACTTATTTTTCGTAATGATTTTAGTAATTCATTGGTTTTTGTGGATTTTGTATTTTTCAGGCATGTTGTTCTTCCTCCTGATGTAGCGAAATTGTTACCGAAGAATCGTCTTCTCTCTGAAGTGAGTGATCGCTTTTACCCCTAGGGTTTAGTATGTTTTCATTTTCACTTTTTAAAATTTGCGTATGGAGAAATGGAACTAGCAAATGATAATCAGCATATTATGTGCTTTCATTTTCAGAAGTTCTTCGATTGAATGATTTAGTTGAATGCTAATCAAAATAAATGATTTCGTGTGTGCTATTAGGTTGTCATTTAGCACTATGTGAAAACTCATCAATAGATGTGGCTTTCTGCTGCTTTGTTTCGTGTAGTCGAACAGAATGATTTTGATATCTGGTGTTATATGTGGTTTATGTTGTTCATCTTGTTAGATTACTTGAATGCTGATCAAAATAGATGATATCATGTGTATGATTAGATTGCCATTTAGCACTATGTGAAAGCTCATATGTAGATGTGGTTTTGTGCTGCTTTATTTCATGTAATCCAACAAAATGATTTTGATATTCTGTATCGCATGTGGTTTAAATTGTGTTCTTGTTTGTCGAAGGCAAATCAGATTAATGATATCATGTTGCACTATTGGATTGTAATTCAGCGCTGTCTGTAAACTCATGAGTAGATGTGGCTTTGTGCTGCTTTGTTGCTGTTGGCAAACAGATTTTGATTTCTGATATTGCATGTGGGTTACAATGTGTTCTTCTTGTTTGATTACTCGAAGGCAAATCAGATTAATGATATCGTGTTGTACTATTAGATTGTAATTTAGCACTATATGTAAACTCAATAGTAGATGTGGCTATGTGCTGCTTTATTGCTGTTAAGTGTTAACGAATATATTTCGATTCCTGCTATTGCATGTGGTTTACAATGTGTTCGTCTCTTTTGATTGACAACTAGAATGAGTGGCGTGCAATTGGAGTTCAGCAGAGCAGAGGATGGGTGCACTATGCTATTCATCGACCAGAGCCACACATCATGCTCTTCAGGAGGCCACTGAACTATCAGCAGCAACAAGAAAACCAGGCTCAGCAAGCTATGCTTGCCAAGTGAAGAAACATGTCTCTTGTTTCTTTCCCAATGAATCAAATCATATACAGATAGTAGTGTTCATTTCATCTAGAAATGATATGATAGCTTATGTTGATGTCTAGTTAAATGTCTGAATTTTGAAAATGTGAAGTACTGTAATGCTTAGCTCTTCATTTTGAAGTTTAGGTATTGAAATATTGTGTTCGAATTGATCAAGGTTTATATCTGTGTGCTTGGAATTGGTGCTATATGAATGTTACTGTGTGGATTAAGACCTGTTTGCATTGATTCTATTTGGTTATTTATTATTATTGCTCAAGATTCACGTTTGTTTATTATGTATGATTTTGATGCCCTACGTTTTTAATGGGTATCTTCTCACATTGGATTTTTACCTACTACCATTTGTTTGATTCAGGAATTGTTTTGACTAGTTCTGACTTCTTTAAGGAACATTCTGTTGCTTTTAATTAATACATGTGATTGTTTGTGGCTTGTTGAAACGTTTCATTTCAAGAAAGCACTATTTAGAGATAGGGATTGAATATGGGATTTGGGTTGAGTAAGCTAATTAGGTTGGGAGTGGACCAGATCTTCTCGAATATTTACTGGTCATATCAATAGTTAGCTCCGATCTCTTTGTTCCAGATGTTTGATATGATCCAAATTATTCAGTTAGCAGGCTAGCAGCAACGATGTAGGGAAAGTAGTTAGATCAATATTTTGACTCAATCTCTGTATTTAGTTTCCCTAAATATATTGTCTTGCTATTAGATGCTATCGGCGCTTCTTCCATCTTCTTTAGCTGAGAGTCTATCGGAAACAGTATCTTTGGCTCTCTGCTCTCCCAGGGTAGGGGTAATGCTGCTTACATCCTACCCTCCCCAGACCTTGTTTGTGGGATTTTCACCGGGTTGTTGTTCTCTGTATATAAGTTTCTCAACATAGACCATATTATTGAGGTAATGAGTTTGTAGGAAATGATTTCTTCAAATTTTAAATGTGTAGGTGAAATGTAGAGGGACATTTTATCTGCCAATTTATTGAAAACAATTACGCTAACATGACGTATCTTGTTTATTAGATTATGTTACCTTGTTTCTTTGTCGATTTTAACACAGTTTAAATTAGTCTCATGTGCTGTCAGAAACATAGAAGTGCGTGTGCTGAGGTGCCCTTTCATTGGTGATCTATGTAATTTCCTGGGCCAATAATTTTTGCCACAAGTGGCCTAATTGTGAAGAGGCTCCTCTAGTTAGATGGGCTTCAGCTTTTTCCCTGGGCAGAATTCTTAATCTTATGCACAACAAACGAGGATAAAGATATTTGAATCTTCAGTTTGGTTTGATCAAAGATTGTGGAAGAAACGTGTGATCCATATCTGTTTTTACTTGTTAAAAAATGGTACTCCCTCTCCTTTGTTTCAATTTATGTGAACATATTTTGTTTTTAATCTGTACCAAAATAAATGATCCCTTCCATATTTTGAAACGATTTACCTTCATGTAATAATTTATAGCCACACAAAATATATGTACCTTATTTTTAAATACATGTTCAAAAATCTTATTTTTTTCCTTAAACTCTGTGTTCAGTCAAATAAGTTTACATAAATTGAAACGGAGGGAGCATCATTTTAGAATTTGCACTTGCTTTGTTCTTTTAGAACTTTAAACTACCTTCACGTTTCTTCCCCAATCTTTAGAAACCTGTATAGATCTCTGATACGAGCTTACCTTTGACACCCGTAGATTATACTCATCCATTCTTCGTTTGATTGATAAAATGAATTCAGAATGTGTGCTGCTTTGTGAACTGTCGAGCGGACTATGATCCAATTGAGTTAATCCGTCAGCTGTCTACTGATTATCTATCTCTGTTTTGAAGTTCTTTTTCTCCCCCTGTTTTGAAACTGTGGTTTGAAGTTTAATTGTCAAATTCATGTCATCACCATTGGACTGACTGGCTTAAGTTGAGCGACAGTCAGTGAAAATCTATATAACTGACTTCAACTCACCAGTGATTGAGATTTAGCAAGTGACCTTAACTCGCTTGTGATAGTGAGATCTAGTAAGTGGCTTTTAACTCAGCTAAATGTTGCAAACCACTTCCAACCTTGATGTAAATGGTTTATAGTTTCACTTTAAACATCAAGGACTTTAAATCAAGTAAAAAACACCACCCTAAAAAAAGTTATCCATTGGAATAATTAAGTTACAACAGAGATCATCGAAAAGCACAGTATGTTACAACAACATTTCTAATAAGCTGCAAATTTACCAATTACATCAATTCTACAACAAGCCTACCCTAAAAAATTCAAATCCTTATTTTACTAAAAAAGGACTACCATTTTCCAGAGTTGAAAATCAAACCCTTCCATTTTCCTCAATTTGCCTCATTGTCAGTCCCCTTAGAACCTTCAACAACCAATTTCAACTGCTCATGATACAACTTAGCCTTATTCACCATAATCTCAGCTTCTTTCAATCTCAACTCCATCCACTTCTCATTCATCCTCTTCAATTTCTCCTTTCCCAATCTCCTCAATCCTTCTTTACAATACTCACTTCTCCCAAAAATACTCATCATTTCACTTACCAAAAAAGGAAACTCCTCCAAATTCACTTCTTCTTCAACTTCAACTTCAACTTCAGCTCCTTTTTCTTCTTCACAACTTCTATGCAATTCTACCCCTGGTTCTTTTCCCTTAGCAGCGTTTCGACCCCAAATCTGGCGGGCAATTTCGTAAATCTTTTTATCATGTGGGGTTTTAATAAGGGATTTGGACCTAGCGAGCTTGTGGTACTTTTCTTTGAGTCTTTTCAGCTTTTTTGCGATCTGTTTCTCTGTGAAATTGCCGTTAGAAGTGAATTCAGAGTTGTTTGGGGAGCCTGAGATGGTTTTGAGGAGTTGAATTTCGTCATTTTCGGTGAAGACTCTGTGGGCTTCTGGGGTTTTTGAGAGTGTTTTGGTGATGGGTATTGATTTTTCCGGTGATTTAGGGGAGTTTTCGCGGTGGTTCGCGGCGGAGGTGGGGTTTCTCTTACGGCGTGGTGGGGTTGTCATGGTTTTTGACGATGTATTCGATGAAAGTTGAAATTTTGAGAAAGCTCTGATCTGTAAGTGTGAATTGTGAACGGTTGGAAATCGCACATGTTACTTGACTAGACAAGGAGTTTAAAAATGAATAAAATTTTTTAAATCTTAAAATATTTTAAACGAAAAACGCCTAAAAAATGTCACTCAACTAATATAAATGACCTATTTATGTCATCCGTTAAAAAGGTCGCTCTATTCATGCCACTAATATTATACTTTTGGCATATTTATATCATTGTCTACTTACATTTTCATTTTTTGATTTTAAATAAGAATTAATTTTTCGACCCCACCTTTGCCATGTATCTTTATATTATTGGTTCTTCTTTACTTGACTCTACATATCTTTTAGCACTAATTATGGATAATTAACCATGCCCAAACCGATAAAATCCAACCATCTTTTAACCCAACCCCTAAATCCTTGTCACGATCTAAAATTCAACTAGTCGTGATGGCACCTAACCCAACCCGCTAGGTAAGCCAATTAAGAACTATCCAATTTAATGAGACTTTTTTTAGACAAATAATGTCACGACCCGGATTTCCCACCATCGGGGGTCGTGATGGCGCCTACTATCGGAACTAGGCAAGCCAAGCATTTAAATATTTTTCTGATAACATCCCAACAATAATAATAATACGAGTCATTTAAATAAAAGCGGAAGTCTTTAAAACATAGATAACTGAAAACCCAAAGATGCGGAAGTTTAACATTTCTCTACCCAAGACTCGTGTCGCTAACTCACGAACTACTAAAGAGTGCTAAGAACAAGTCTGAATAGAAATACATCAACGTTTGTCTCGGTACAAGGAAAACAAACTATAACATAGAAGGGACTCCGGCCTGCGAACGTTAGCTAGGATACCTCGAAAGTCCCTGGACTGAAGTCAGCTCCCGATCAATATCCTACTGCTGTGGTCCAAAAGCTGCTCCGGTACCGTGATCTGTGCAAAAGAGCACAGAAGTGTAGCATCAGCACAACTGACCCCATGTGCTGGTAAGTGCCTGGCCTAACCCCGGCGAAGTAGTGACGAGGCTAGACAGGGCTACCAAACCAACCTGTACAGTTCAAATATATATATATATATGCAATAAAAAGGAAAGAATACAGAAATTAAACAGTTANTCGTTTCTTGTTGGTGTGCGTATTATGCAAGTTGTGGCTTAGGCCTGTATTGAGGTGTCATATCACCGGAGTGGTGTGTTGGATTTGAGGTGATCGTTGGGGTCACTAATGAATACGAACGGATTTGATTTCAGCTTATTGGAAGGATAATATCGAGGTTTGACTCGAAATCTGCTGTGGTGTTAGTCAAAAGGGAAGTGGCTTCATGAATGGTTGATTTGAGAAATGGTTACGGTTTATTGCGTGTTTCATTTATCGTTGGCAGTATATGAAAGTGTTGGAATAAGACCTTAGTTGATAAGAGGTTTTCTACCGGTATTCGGGTGTTATGTGCAGCTGCTGTGAATAGAAGTTACCGTTTCGAGTGTTTGAGTTATGTGGTATATCATATAATTGCACCTAAGGTTGCAGGTAGGGGTTATTTCAGCTGGTTCGGGCCTATTCTGAATAGAGATGTGAGGTTCTGATCTTGTGTATGATTTCGGAAAGTGGAATGTGGTTCTATGGCTTATGGGCTAGATTGGATGGTGAAATTTCAGCTATGTTGTGTTATCGGACCCATGTGAGATGGGGTGACGTGGGATCACCCCCGGGTATATGCTTGGTAAGGTCATTCAGCTATTGGTTGGCTTCTAGGACAACTCTGGGTACGCTCGAGGACGAGCGTTTGTTTAAGTTAGGGAGGATGTGACGACCCGACCCGTCATCTCATGAGTTACCGCCCCGTTTCCCCCATTTTATGCTTCTTCATGTTTCATTATCAGTAATTGGTGTGTTAGAGTTGATTTGGATTGGTTTTGGTAGGAAAGGAGACACTTAGTCTCTTTAAGGAAGGCTTGGTTTGGAAAAGTCAACCGGAGGTTGACTTATGATTTATAGGGCTCGGATATGATTTCTGGTGATTCGGTTAGCTTCGGGGGATGATTTGTGACTTAGGAGTATGATCGGAATTTATTTTGGAGGTCCGGTGTAGAATTAGGCTTGAATTGGCGAAGTTAGTATTTTGGCGAATTCCAATTGATAGGTGAGATTTTGATCTGAGGGTTGGAATTGAGATTCCGAGAGTTGTTGTAGCTTCGTTAGGTGATTTTGGATGTGTGTGCAAAATTTTAGGGTATTCGAAGGTGATTTGGTTGGGTTTTTTACCGAATGCGTGTTTCGGAAGTTTTGAAGAACTTGGGCTCGAATTCGATGAGAATTGATGATTTTTGTGTTGTTGGATGTGTTTTTATGATTGGAACAAGTTTGAATAACGTTGTAGGATGCATTGGTATTTTTGGTTGAGGTCCCGGGGGCCTCGGGGTGAGATCGGATGGTTAAACGGAGAGTTTTGGAATTTTTGCTTGTTAAAGGGCTGCTGATACCTGGTATCTTCGCACCTGCGGTTATGGGACCGCAGGTGCGGTCACGCAGAAGCGGAGGTGAGTGTCGCAGAAGCGGAAATGTTGGAGCTGGGTTGGACCGCAGATGCGGATATGGAACTGTCACGACCCGGATTTCCCACCATCGGGGGTCGTGATGGCGCCTACAATCAGAGCTAGGCAAGCCAAGCATTTAAACATTTTTCTGATAACATCCCAACAATAATAATAATACGAGTCATTTAAATAAAAGCGGAAGTCTTTAAAACATAGATAACTGAAAACCCAAAGATGCGGAAGTTTAACATTTCTCTACCCAAGACTGGTGTCGCTAACTCACGAGCTACTAAAGAGTGCTAAAAACAAGTCTGAATAGAAATACATCAATGTTTGTCTCGGTACAAGGAAAACAAACTATAACATAGAAGGGACTCCGGCCTGCGAACGTTAGCTAGGATACCTCGAAAGTCCCTGGACTGAAGTCAGCTCCCGATCAATATCCTACTATTGTGGTCCAAAAGCTGCTCCGGTACCGTGATCTGTGCAAAAGAGCACAGAAGTGTAGCATCAGCACAACCGACCCCATGTGCTGGTAAGTGCCTGGCCTAACCCCGGCGAAGTAGTGACGAGGCTAGACAGGGCTACCAAACCAACCTGTACAGTTCAATATATATATATATATGCAATAAAAGGAAAGAATACAGAAATTAAACAGTTAAGAGGGAGGGGAGCATACTATGGGGGAAGTACAGTCCGGACATAAGGTCAACAATTTACGTAAGAAACAGGGCAATAACAATAATTATAGAGAACAGGAAAATTAACAGTTGCACGGCATCAACCTTCGTGCTTTTACTATCATTCTCACCAAAAGCAATCAAATAAAGTGCACGGCATCAACCTTCGTGCTTTCCCTCACATAACTCTCAATCATGGCACGGAATGATCCTTCGTGCAATTGTAATCAAATCAGAGCACGGAATGTTCCTTCGTGCATAAATAATCAAAACACGGCACAGAATGACCCTTCGTGCAAATATAATCAAAACATGGCACGGAATGACCCTTCGTGCAAATATAATCAAAATATGGCACGGAATGACCCTTCGTGCAAATAAAATCAACATGGCACGAAATGACCCTTCGTGCCTTATCCCTCTTCCTCACCCAAATAGTAATCACAACCAAACGGGGCGAGGGGATAAACAAATAATAAGAAATGTCCCGGCAAGGGAAATCACAAGTAAACAGCTAAATCCCGGCAAGGGAGCAACAACAATAACCTTCACATCCCGGCAAGGAAGATAATCAATATACTCAAACCATCCTGGCAAGGGATTAATCATATCTCTTTCCATTTCTTTCATTTCTTACTCAATAGTCTTTTTATCGTTCGAGCCAACGCTCCAAAGAATTCACAATTCATAATTAGTCTTCATACTCTTCACATTACGTAGAATTCATCAATTAGCATGGAAGAGTCATAACAATAATAGGACAAGTACAACAAGGACCCACGGTCATGCTAGACACCGGTGTATAGATACTCGTCACCATGCCTATACACCATACTCAACATTTAGCAATTAGCAAACAACACTCTAATCCTATTCCCTCAAGCCAAAGTTAGATCAAACACTTACCTCGGTCCAAAGAATAGCAATCAACCCTCAAATACCGCCTTTCCTCTAGAATCCGACTCCGAACCCACGATATCTAGGCATAATTAATTCAATAATATCAATAAAGGATCAATAGCAAAATCCCATAACCTAGATAGGAAGTTTCTAGCATTCTTCCAAAATACCAAAATTCGACACCGGGCCCACATGGTCCAAACACGAGGTTCGGACCAAAACTCAATCATCCATAACCCCACGAGTTCAAACATATAATTTATTTTAAGATTCGACCCCAAATTGAGGTTGAATCACTCAAAATTCTCAAAAACCTAACTCTACCCAAAACCCTTAATTTCTGCTTTGATTTCATGATTTAGGTCTAGGAACTTACTAATTAATGAAGAAAAAGTGAAGGAAATGAGTGGGGAATTACTTACCCAAGTGGTCTTGAAGAATGGGGGCTTTAATGGCTTCCTAAAGCTTGGGAGAGAAGAGAGCTCGTGAGTATTTTTGAGAAAAACCCGTATGTACTGTTCTGTTTTTAATAAATATGACTGGCGGATTTTTACCCTATGCGTTCGCGACACTGTAGTCGCGTTCGCGATGAAAGGGAAGCTGGTGCATTGCGATCGCAGAAGGTAAGTCGCGATCGCATATAAGGATAGGGGCTGGGTCCAGTTTTAGTACTATGCAAACGCGTTAAGTACCACGCGAACGCGATGAAGGGGGCTATAAAGCTACGCGTTCGCGAACACAGGAATGCGAACGCGAAGAGGAAATTCCTGGGGGCCTGAGTTTGACTTACGCGATCGCAATGATGGGGACGCGAACGCGAAAGAGACCAACACTGAAGC